GAAAGAGCAACTTTACTACTTTAGATGTATATTTTCATAAAAAAAATTGAAAATAGAAATTATCAAGTAAAAGTTTCAATTATATTATTATACAAATTTCCTTATTTAATTAATTATTATTTTATATTTCATCAGATTTCATAGAATTTGAAATAAAATTATTATCTTATGTAGATATTTATGATTTAGAAATAAAATTAAAAATCTTATTATTCAAGTAGGCTATTTATCCAAATTTTATTATATGAAAATTATGTTTAGATAATCAAAATTTTCAAGAAAAAGTAACCCTTCAAGAATATTGTGTAGCTATTATAATTTCTTTTTAGTGTGAACTCTCAAGATGAAACATAGTTTTTTCTTACAAATAATACGTCCAAACAGCTAGAAGATTCTTGCCTGATGGAAAATTTGTAACTTTGCATTGATTATTTGATCAAATTCTCTCAGGAAACGACAATTAAAGTAGCCCTTTCAAGCTGGCTCAAAATTATGAGATATGTTACCAAAGTCAATTTTTAACTAGAAGATAATATAACATTTAGTCTTTATTTTTGACAATTCTCCTTTCAGTTTGATCAACTTGGCTTAAACACTAATATATTTTATGAGCCATGTTTTCACTCTAGCAAGTAGGGCTTAGCTAAAAATGACATTTGATAGTGACGATGAATGACAAAACGATAATTTAAACTAAGAAGTGATACATAACTGGCTGTAAATTGTAATCATTTCACTTTCGAAACGCAATGCTATGATATTTCGCAAAGTAGCCATCGCAATAACTTTCTATGACAATCTGTCTTCAGAGGCTATCTTGTTGACGCCGCTCTACCGCTTGACTTTGTCTTTTTTGAAATTTTCTTATTTTGTGGAAAAAATGCCCGTTAATTTTGATTAATATGGTCCAACTTTAGTGCAGAGGTGAAATACTGGGTCATCTGCAACCACTAGTGAAGTGGTTTGGTTACACAGGTTTCTATTTGATCTTGGAATTCATCTCATCATTGATACGCCTTTTTTGTGTGTGAGAATAACGATACTAGTCAGATTGCAACAAACTCTATCGAAAAGAGGAAAAATGTGCCGAAGAGGAAATAAATATTCTTTTCCTTTTTGACAAGCTATTATGCAAGAAATTCATTATTAATCCTCCGTTTGGCCTTAATTATTTAAAATTCATTTTTTTCTTAAATTTATTTTCAATCACACATTTGATGGTACTCACAACTTTCAACTTTTTAATCATATATTTTATCAATTTGTTATAAAAATCTACTGACCAAGCCAAATGAGGGCCAAATTGTTACAATGTGTTGGTCCTACGAATCAATTGAGCAGGCCGCAGGTGCAACCCCTGGTAAAGCTTGTTGTGCAGTTTTTGGCTTATTATTATATGGTCAATTATGATTCTGTTTGGTCTTTATTTATAAAATTATTTTAAAAAAAATCAGTTTCAACCTGACATTTCATGAGATTTACAATTTTATCAACTTTTCAATTACACGTTTCACTAACTTTTATCAAAATCTACTAAAAAATCTAATTTCTATCCAAACAAAACAAAAATTATGTTTTCAAAGTCAATTTCCATTCAAATAAAAAGTTTGCAAAAGTCAATTTTCAATGTCCAGGATGGATAAATCAACTCGAGGGAGAGGACTTGAGGAATCGATACATATGATCATCTTCAAATGCAAGACTTTTTTAGGGTTTGAGTTATCTTTAAAATAATTGCTTATTTCGGCTTAATCAAGTTTTCACCTACTTCTAATTAAACTTAAAAACAATAGAGTTAGGCCGCAGACAACCTTATAAAGATGCAAAAGACCAATCAACATACTTTAATTCTACAAATTTCAACTCGGTGGCACATGCAATTTCTCGAGTGTATGCGTGAAAAATGAATTTTCTTTTTTGAATATTCTAGAACCTCATTTGGAAGAGGCGTAACAAGTTTAATTACTTCTTATTGACATATTTCATGAAATTCATGTGCGTATATACTTTTGATTCAAATATTTGTTCTCATGCTTCATTCTTTTCCCATTCTGTATTAATCCGTTAGCTAGAGTTAATTAGGCAACACCCTACTCTATTAAGCATATTTTTGGCCTCAATCTTTTCAAACATTTATTTTTAACCACACATTCTCGTATAAAATAATTTTATAGTAAATCGAAAACTTTTCCTTCTTTTCTAATCATACATTCTCAAAAAAATCACTATTCTAAAACATATTTTCTTATCCAAATGGGGCTCAAACAGAACTAAATATATAATTGGAAAGTGTTTATAAATGATATAAATACTAAATAAATAGAATTGATTAATGAATAGTGAATTAGTTTATCGATCTAATTATTACCTTCAAATTAGTGAGCTCAAATTACATATAATGAGCTACAAAACTAGTGTGTAAAAGCAAAGAATAAGTTTCGAAGTTCAAATAGCTACTTGGATGTTTGAAAAAGAAGAAGAAGGTGGTGATAATGGGTAATATTGATGCATGTGTTTTAGGGTGAAATATGTTTATATAGTGACAAGTAAGCTAAATTCTCTTGGTGTCACAAATTTGCCTTGACATTCTTTTGAAGGTCTAAATTGTCATTTTGCATGTCAAAATTATTTTTTGAAAAAATAAGTTGAAAAATGTATGTAAACCTTGTTTGTCAACAAAAGTAACTTCAAAAAGTTGATAGAGAGACAATGTAATTGGAAAAAGAAAGCTACTTAAAAGAATTTTAGGCT